ATCTTTTTCAATATTCAACAAAGATAAATAACAAAGTATATTATACGAACAAACAGTTATACATTTTTTCAGGAAATTTCCTATCATTTAAAAACATAAAATTCATAATATTAGGTACCTATATAATAATAATTATATATAAAAAACTAGGGGTGCTAAATTTTAACTTGGGGGTGCTAAAAACCTTTTTGCACCACCCTAGTTGCGCCACTGCCACTATCACAAAACAAGGCAAGTGTATCAATCTATTAACATTATAACTAATATCTTCATGGCTTCATGCATAAAATGTTAATGATTAAGAAATATAGCTGAGATTGAGGATCATAGCTGATGCCTTTAAAAATACAAAATTGTATCAAAATCTTCAAATGTATTTTCACACTATTTTTTCTATAATCTTCATTGTGCAATTGTGGATTATTATTTCAAATACCTATAATGAAACAGTAAAATAGAAATATTGTTATCGTCTCTTTAATAAGTTGTAGATATGAAATCGGTGGTCAACGAGACAACGAGAATAGCATAATATCTAAAACACGTTCGACACTATCCGACTATTATCTGCTGCCTGCCTATACAACTATATGTAAAAAATGCAAATACAAATAATCAGGTTCCCTAAAGGCCTAAAACACTCATTTTCCACTTATGGAGCTACGTTTTCAAACATTAATACATTTATTCTTTATAAATAATAAAACACAAACTAAGTAATAAGTAATAACTAATGAGTGTTTAATAATGTTAATACTTTACGTTTTATGTTAATAATATTAATAACCTGAATTAGGTACATTCAGGGGACTAAAAAAATGAATTGTATAGTAATTCTTATTTACAATATAGGTACACGCGTATCACATTATTCACATTTTACATGTAGATATTTATAGACTTAAATAGTAAGTCTATAGTTTTGTTTTTATTTTTAATATTTACTAGCAGTTTATCACTGTAAAATAGCTCAACAATAAATTAGGTACAGACATAAAGTCAGACAAAAWAAATGTTCAAAAAAGCTTATGTTTAAAAAAATAGTCAGAGCAACGTTAATTTCTAATAGTTTTTTGTGATTTAAATTTTAAATGTTAAATCATTAATGAATCGTTGGTAGGTAGTATGTGCGATAATCTGTTAAGAAGTCCGAAAATATAATTAAAATATTTTATTACATTTTCATCTATAATTATTATATTATAAATTGGTATTTCATACTACACAAAATGATTTGTATTGAATTATTTAAAATTACCTATTATAATTATTGTAGTATCGATGTTTGTATTGAATAATTTGTTTGAGTAGTTTGAAATACTAATATATAATATAATTAAAGATGAAAATGTAATAAAATATTTTTTAATTATATTTTCGGACTTTTTGTTCATTTTTTTTCAAAATGGACTTTTTGTCCCCTGACTTTTCATCCGGGATTCAGTAGGTACCTATATAATATATTATTATAATAAAAGATCTTAATTTTTAAACACGACCAAAATTTAACATTTTAGTGAGCCGTCTGCTCGTACTGTTGATCAAACTCGATTCTTTATGTCAACACCTTAATTTACATATGAACTAATTCATAAGAGGCGATCAACTAATAAAAATTAATTTAAGTCGGCAGTATGCGTATGCCCGATGCCGGCGTATTTCGGTATTGTCATCCGCCCATGATAACGCCTGCGTTTGGGAACCCTGAATTATGTTATCAGCTTATGAAACATGTGTATAATAACAAAATCTTGGTGTAGCATGAAAACATTTACCTACATCATCGTGATCGTCTAGATAGGTACGAAAATTGAAAATATAAATTAAAACGCTACATTTAATTACACAAACTCCGACAAAATACAGTTAATAATTAATAACTATTTGATTAATTGTATTATTTTATCGTACAAAGTATTCAACAGTTGATGTAGTAGCAATAGTAATTGGTAACTAGTATGTAATAATTATTAATTTACTTATGTCGGGTCGGTTATTGTGTAATTACCAAAAATATTATTTTTCGAGCTACTAATTTAAATGTGTCGACATGAATTGTTATTGATTCTAAACAAAACCTATACATACTGAAATAGTGTGCAAAGTATAGAAGCATGCATAATGAAAGTAGGTAGTTGTGATGTCCATAAATTGACTATCCATCTGCTTGTTTTTAATCTGAAATTGTTCTTAATCGTAATATATTTATTTTTGATATTTTAGAATACATATTATAGAATCCGGAAGACACACCTACATTAAAAGGAGTAAGTAGGCGGACATATGATTTTTGGTGTAGGTGTTTTAATCATAATTTGTTATGTGTGGGCTTTYGTTGAATTAGCAGTGTAGGATGGATAGCAGAACACTAAACATTGTCATMATCAGTACTTTTACTATTATTACATTTTAGTAGGTCAGTCAGTCGACCGGGAAAAAAACGACTAGAAAATGTCATTTGAATTCAACGCTTTGATGGTTAGTGATGACGCTAATAGATTGGAAGTCGCTGAACTTTCAGAATTTATTGAAAGTAAGTTTAACTTAATATTTGTCAAAATATTTTAATTTGGCTGATTTTTAATTTTCAGATCGACTTTATTTTATGGTGTTATCTAATCATAAAGGTCCAACAACACTTCAAAATTTTAAGGATTGGAAAAATGCATTGAAGGATAACGATGTATTTTATTTAAATGTTGATGACAATTTAGTGTATGATGGTTTTTATAGTGACTTTGGTCCTTTAAATTTAGCTATGATATATCGTTATATTGGTATACTACGAGATAAGTTTAAAGTGAGTAAGACTTTTTTTGATTAAAAATAAAATATATGATAATCTTATTTTAATCATGTATCAAATAATTTAAAAAGAAAATAATAAGCTTATAATCATTTAATGTAATTTTATAAAATTTAAAATGTCCATAAACAGCTTAAGAAAAGTAAAAATATTTTGAAAATTTTATCAAGTATGGAAAATGATAAAATAAACATTTTGTTTAGATTACAAATATATGTAGTTATTCGTTTTTGAATCACAACAAAATAAGAAGTCTGTTTCATGAGAAATCGAGAATGTCTAATTTTGTAAAAATTTTAACTTCGAACGTTCACCAATATTTAGTTTGACTTTTTAATAGATATTTTTTTTTTTTTGTTTTAAGCTAGACAAACATATTATGAATTTTGTATCAAATTTTAAAATCTAGGGTGTAAAAAAAAAACATTTATATGATTTTCAAACTCATAATAATATGCTATTTGTTGTGATTTTACCGTGATTGTTTTTAATAAATAAACTTCAGATAATAAGAAATTTAGTGGATACACTTCTATTTTTTAAATGTTCATTAACACAATTTATGAAGAATTTTTTTCAAGAATTTTTTATCAAGCAAAAAAATTGTTTTTTGACTTACATTATAAAAAAAAGTCATATGTATTAGAAATGCTTATGATTTTACCTCCCGAATGCACCAACTAAATTCACTATTTCGCCAGAAAAAATACTGAAGTTAAAATTATAACAATGGAAGCTTGACCAGATTTTATAAAAATTAAATCTATTGTWCATTAATAACCTAAGTATTATAATATAATATATAATATTAGACACATATCAGGTGTGCTATGTACATAATCAATTTTGTTTATAAACTTTAAAAATGTAATGTTGTAATTCTTCATTTTTTAAATTCTGATTTTATTGATTTGTTTTAATAACTACTTTTATAGATATTTCACATACAGTAAAACCTCTCTACAACGGAATCGCTTGGAACCTAATATTTTTCCGTTATTAAGAGTTTTTCATCATAGAGAGTTAGAAATTGCATATAGAGGGTCTGTTATAGAGAAGTTTTGAAGTAATTTTAAAACATTTTGTTTCTGTTTATTTTATTGAAATAAATATTGAAACTTGTTTGCCTATATTAAAATAAATAAATAAATAATATTTATAAATCTTAACTTTTTCTTTAAAATAGCTTTTATAAAAATTTATAAAATCAATATTATTCATAAATATTAACCATATAACCAATAATATTAACMAAATAATATAAACCATTATTATTCATAGTTCATTTGTACTTGTTGTATTATCAATGTTGAAATTTACTTCTATCTAATTAGTTTTTAAATATTTTTTAGGTTTATAAGAGAGTTATTCACTGTGCTCATATTGGTGATCAAAAAAAAAGGTCAAATGCAGCTTTTCTTATTTGTTCATATTTGGTTAGTTCACATACTAACGCACTAACAATGTATATGTTACATACAATGTCCGGAATTGTACATTTCGCAATTTGTACAGTGATTTTTGTACACATCGCGAATTGTACAATTTTGCTGTACAATGTAACTAGATTGTACAAGTTTCATTTTACAATTCGCGATATACACAATAATCACTGTATAAATTGCGAAATGTATCTTCACTGTTCAAATCACAAGAATACTGCTAGTTTTAAAGTCTTAATTATTATTAACAAATAAATAGTAATACTGGATATTTTAATATAAAGTTATATACATTACAATATAATAAGTGATATGTTTTAAAAATATTTTCTTAACAAATATTACATATTAGTATATCATATAAAAAAAAACTTTAATTAATATTATTTTCAACTTCACTCATTTTKCCCGATTGTRTAATAMTATAATCACACTAATATAAGTTGAAATATTGCAGCAGTTCCGATTACAATGCACAAGTCCATATTAAAATCTGTTTAAATTATACTTCTGAACGACTCAACGGCAGTACTTATAGTAAAGTCGTTTGGATAAAATGTATCATTTTTATTGCATTATACCTTTATTAATACGTTAGATTCCACATAACGTTGGAAAAACAACAAATGAAATTATTATACATCTTATTATAGATTTACGTATTTTATTTCATATCACAATGTGTACTGTGTACACTTTACAGTAATATGTTATTGTATACGATTTGTAATTTTTATAATATGCTTTTAAATTTTGTGATTTGTACAATGAAGGTACATTTCGCAATTTGTACAGTGATTATTGTAGATATTGCAAATTGTATAATGTAACTTGTACAATCTAGTTACTTTGTACAGCAACATTGTATGTAACATATACACTTTTTACATTTATATTTTTTAATGTCATAGGTAATTGAATATAATTGGACAGCACACCAAACATATAATATGTTATCAAAACAATATAAACATAAATATATTCCATTTAGGTAAATATAAGGTTAAAAAAATTTATTGTGTATTAATAATGTATGTGTTAACACTATTAGAGATGCATCATGCTTGTTGCAATCAGAATATTCAGTGTCAGTTGAAGAATGTGTAAATGCCTTATACAAAGCTAAATGGTATGGATTTTTTGATATGAGTGACTTTGATTTGGATGAATATGAAAAATATGAGGTTAGTATAAATTTAAATGTGTTATTTATTTGCTACTATAAAATGTTTCTTTAGACTGTGAAATATGGCGATATTAATTGGATTGTTCCTGCTACCTTATTGGCATTTTCATCACCGCATTCTCGAGATTATATAGATAAATGTATTTACACATATTATAATTTTTATTTAAGTTTTCTATGAAGTCTTATTAATTATTTTTTGATATTTATATTAATAGCTGGCTATCAGATACATTCCCCAGCTTACTATTACCCATATTTTAAAGAAAACAATGTCAAGCATGTTGTTAGATTAAACAGTAAAAAGACGTATGATGCTAAACGTACCTTTGTAGCTRTAGCCAATATTCAACATACAGATTTGTTCTTTACTGATGGTACACCACCTTCAGATTCTATACTCAAATGCTTTCTACATCTCTGTGAGCAATATATTGATGATAGTTGTGAAGCTGAACATACAAATAATGAGAAATATGAATCAAATGAAATCACTCCAAACATAATCATAAATAATGAAACTAATGTAGCTAATCATGCAGGTGCAGTTGCTGTACATTGTAAAGGTAAATGTAATTCATCACATATACTTATCTTTTAGATATTTATTAATTATTATCTTTAGCTGGATTGGGAAGAACTGGTTGTTTAGTGGCTTCATATATTGTGAAGCATTGGTCATTTACAGCAGTAGAAGCTATAGCATGGACTCGTATATGTCGACCTGGTTCAGTAATTGGTGTGCAACAACAATGGCTTATCAAGTAAGAACCTAAGTTCAAATTATAAGTATCTAAAAGTTAGAAAATATGTTTTTTAGTTTATTCAACTTCTCACTTATAATATCAGTGTTTTATTTTAAATATAATATTTATTATATAGTAAAGAAAGTTATCTTACAACTCTTGGTAAACAATGGCGAGAAAAACAAAAAAATGCTGTCAACAAATATAAACGGTTTACAAATGGGGTGTATAGTGTTAAGCGACATACTTCCAATTCTAATGCTTATGAGTATGTAGATCCTCCACCTCAGTTACACATTAGTAACGAGGAACAATTCATTAGTGGTGGTGATAGTGTAATAGAATATGAAAAATCTGAAGAGGTAATCTATAGAATTTGTTGGTATAAAATAATTTTGTTAATTTTATTTAATTATTTATAGTACAAACAAACCAGAATATCATCTGTTTTAAAAAATAAATTGAAAACGGACAATCATGCGCTTCCTGATATCCAAAGTGATGTATCTGTACCAAATGTACCAAACTTGAGACAAAAGAGATCAGCCTCAAAAACCGAAGACCCTAAGCCTAAAAGTACATTTTCAGCATTAAAAAATATTCGTCGAGTTACAAATGCATCTATTGGAATGGGTATGAATAATCTGGTGAAGAAAAATATTGCTCCAACTTCAGTTACTATCACAAGAAGTAATTTAAAGACTTCCATGATTGGAAAAAAAAATACAAAACCTCTAACTGCATGTAAAACTAGCACCAAAACAACAAAACCATCAGAAACTGTCACAACGTAATTACCCTTTTTATAATAAGTTTTAAAAATGTAGTGTGTTCTAAAATTGAAAGTTATATGTAATTTTTCATTGAAAAATCAATATTTTTTATATATTAATACATTTTTAAATATAATTGAGTGTCTGATATTAAATGGATGACATAGTACACATCTTGTATACATTGGTTGTATTACATTAGAAATGTACCAATTGCATTAACTATGTATATTGTTTGTGAAAATTGTAATTATCAGTACTTAAACTCTAATTTAATATTGCTTTTTGTCAAAAAATTTTATTTTAATTGARTTTTATTTTTTAATTCAACAAAACATTTACAAAATGGCGATATCAAAATTTTTACATTAATTAAAAGTAACTATTCAATTCTGGAACACAACATATATCGGTGGATTTTAATGTAAATATCTAATATTTATTTATTTTTATTTTTTTGATCAGAGTAACAAACGAAACACAACCATCTTATGCATTAGCTACTGTGGCATCTTCTGCACGTATGTCAAGGCGTCTTCGTAATCAAAACTGCGTTACTAAATAAAAATAATGAGCACATACATTACACCAAATGCAAAGAGTTTATGRAGAGTTAATCATTCTTTTATGAACAAAAGTATCGCATAGAGATTTAGTTCTTTAGAACAGCTAAAATGATTGATTAGATTTTTGATGGTCTTAGTCTTAAAGTTATTGAAAAGTTTCATTTTGAACTCAATATTGATTTACCATGGTTGTCACTTATTTAAATCAGTCATAAATGCATTATGTTATACCTATTGTGTAGTTTTATTTTAGTGCTGAAAACTGGACATGGCTACAGGGTGTCTCCAGAGGATTTACCCATTGCGATATCTCACGAAATAATGGAGATATCGAAATTCTGGTTTTATAATAAGATTCACAGGGATAAGAACT